GGTCCCTTAGAATGGCATTCAAACTGGGCACCATCAGAGTTACAGTTTCACATTAATCTGTATGGATTTTACTGAAGCCTATTTCTCTCAGTAAACTGTAAACTTTTTTTTTTTAAGATTTTTTTTTTTTTGAGAGAGGGAGAGAGCATGGGTAGGGGAGAGGGGCAGAGGAAGAGACAAGCAGACTTCCTGCTGAGCAGGGAGCCCTAATGCAGGGCTCAGTCCCAGGACTCTGGGATCATGACCTGAGCCAAACACAGATACTTAACCAGCTGAGCCATCCAGGTGCCTCGAACTGTAAGCTATTTTTGTCCATCATTGTATCACCAGCACTTGGCACTCAAATGAGTAAATGTAAGGAATGTGCTTATTCTAGAATAACTGGACTGTCAGCATTCACAGATTCTATTATGGCCTCACTCTTGACCTTCTTGGACTCAGTGCACTTGACCCTCAAGACAACCACAGATAAAGGCTGGCTTCCCAGAGGCTCTGGGGCCTAGACAAAGGGCATCAGTCACCTGAGGGCCACCCCACACCTCCAAGGGCTTTGCTATCGGGGTGTTTGTGTTATAGGCATTGCTGAAATGAACTTTTACACAGAAACTTTTCTCTAAGAGTGATGGCGGGAGTTTCTGGAGTTTATAGTTGCCAAGAATCAAATGAATGCTTTGGACAATATGAAGAAAAGGAGCTGTTTTGCACTTAAGAAGGCAAAGTCCTAACCTTTCAGATTTCTCTGCCTCACTTACCTCTTCCAGCAAACCCAGGTCCAGCAGGGGCTGAGTGAGGGCTGAAATACCCCCTGGCTTTGCTTTGAGCCCTCGCTGTGTCTCTCTGTTTCTGTCTGGGAGGAAGGCATCTTTTCCTAATTCACACAAAGGCCTGGAGGGGTGCCCTTTTCTACTTAAACAGAGATACCTTATTGGTTAGCAGGGGGTGACAGTGATGAGGGCCTTCTGGGCACATTGACCAAGATGCTGAGGTATTTAAAAGAAGCCTCTGGTGCGGCACCTAGGTGGCTCAGTTGGTTAAGTGTCTGACTTTGGCTCAGGTCATGATCTCGAGGTCCTGGGATCAAGCCCTGCATTGGGCTCCCTGCTTAGTGGAGAGTCTGCTTCTCTCTCTCCCTCTGCCCCTCCTCCACCTGTACACGCACTCTCTCTATCAAATAAAATGATAAAAATCTTAAAATAAGTAAATAAATAAAAAGAAGCTTCTGCCTCCAGTAAAAAGCCGAGTGAGACTCTAGCAGCCCCTGAGATGGGTTTATAAGGAGCTCCCAGGCCCCCTCAGAGCTCTCCCCCTTGTTCCAGTGTCAAACCTAGTCTTTACCAACTCCCTGCTCAGCCCTGGGGAGACGCCTACCCTAACCCCTTGCCTGCCCTCCTTCCCCACCAGTCCCATGGGTTACCTTCCATACATGCCTCCATGTGGCTTGGATACTGCCCAGGTGTTTTGAATTAGGCCATAGGCTCAGGTGCAAGAAGCCACACTGCCTTATTTTTGTTAAGTCAGCAGCACTTGGTCTCTGAGCCCTCTTCCTTCTGCATGGGCAGAAAGTTCACTCTTGGTGATTTTGATGCTTTCCTGCATCTTGGGGTGACCCAGGGCCCTGAACACAGGCTGGACTTTGCTCCTCGGTTGTGTGTGGGCTCTCTTAAGAAACAAAATTCAACCTAGGAAATTTGAAGAACTGATTGGCTTTATCAGGCGACTCATGAATTTGGCAGCATCCATCAGGATGTTCCACCAAGGAGCTCAGAGGAGGTGTTTTTATGAAGGAGGGTAGGGCAAGGAAGTTATTAGCAAAAGAAAAGAAAGTATTTCAGGCCAGGTCATTTTTCCTTAGGGGGAAAGAGCAGGAATTCTGATCAACAGATTAGCTTTCTTTGCAGGAAGGGTAGAGAGGGCCCACATGACAGATGACCTCCTTGGTGCTAGCCAGAAAATTCCTGACTGACTGCTTAGGACTATGTTTCTGGGGAAGGTTAAAACTGCCATTAGGTTGCATATTGAGTCCCAGTTTGATGGCTTGGCCTAGTCTCAGTGACTCCATTTTGGCCTTGTATTTTCTTGTTGCTATTCTTTTTTTAAAGATTTTACTTAGGGAGAGGAAGTATGAGTGGGGGAGGGGCAGAAGGAGAGAGAGAGCATCCTCAAGCAGACCCGGCACTGAGCCTGACATGGGGCTCCATCTCACCACCCTGAGATCATGACCTGAGCTGAAATCAAGAGTCAGATGCTCAACTGACTGAGTCACTCAGGCGCCCCAGTGGTTTCCTTTTTGAAAGCCCCTTGATTGAGCTTGTGCAGTTACAGGGAGCCTGAGGCTCTCCTGCGACTCCGGACCCTGGGCTTTGCCAGGCCAAGAGCCTTATTGATTCATTTGTGTCATGTCTGTCTCTTCTGCTGAATGTAAGCTCTAGGGGAACAGAGGCTTTGTTTTGTTCACTGTGTCCCAGGCCCAGAAGCAAATAGACATCCAATATTTATTGAACCCAAGTAAATATCCAAGTACCCCCTGTCTGAAGATCTGCTCGCTCCTGGAAACAGCCTAGACACGTTTGGAACCGAGCAAGCTGTGTCTGCTGTCCTGGCTGGGCCAGTCTCCCCTCTCTGAGAGATGCTTCTCCTCCCCACTCTTATTATCCTTTTTAGGAGGGCAGAGGATAAAAGCCCCGAAGGTGGCTGTCTTCAAAAAGTTATGGCCTTCCACTTGAACACATCCTCCCCCAACGGAAGGGACCTTTGCTACCTGCTTAGAGCAGGGTTTATTAATTTATTTTTTTAATGATTTTATTTATTTATTCATGGGAGAGAGAGAGAGAGAGAGAGGGGCAGAGAGACAGGCAGAGGGAGAAGCAGGCTCCCCACAAAGGCAGATGCTCAACCGCTGAGCCACCCAGGTATCCCTAGAGCAGGGTTTAAAAAAAAAAAACAAAACAGCGAGAATACAATTTAATACCTCAACCAATGCCTCAGCCAGTCTGCTTCATTCTTCCCTACCTCTACTTACCTAGTCCCTAGTGTAGACTCTCACTGCTTTTCACCAGAACTTCTCTGCTTCAGCCTCCTTACTGGTCTCCCCAAAAACCCACCTTCCATGAAGCCAGTGCAGTCTATCTAACATGTTAATTGGGCTGTCTCTCCCCTAGTTAAGACTCTTCCATGGCTCCCCACAATTCTCAGCTTGGCAACTGAGCACGGCCTGGCTCTTACTTGCTTCCCTGGCTCAGGACCCCAAACTCTCAAATCACTCACCACTGCTCCCTGGAATGTTTCAACATCTCTGCCTTAGCAGGTGTTACCCCTCCTGCCTGGGATGCTTTCCTCTCTCTTTTCCCCTTCTCCTGGCTACCTGCTGCTTATACATCAAGATCAACCATACAGTTTATATGCCTTGTGATGCAGTGTAACAGGAGCGACACAAGACCAACTGAGAAGTCTTCTTGCCAACAAAGCAAACCCGAATGCCATCAAACCTCTAGGTCTAACTACCGTTAATAGGAAGTATGCAGGACAGAGGAACATGTGAAATTACACTACCAAGAAGCCATCAGCCAAATCCTCCAGAATGTGGGAAATTTAATAGGACAAACAACCAAGTTCCTTTGAAAAGAACAAGGCCAAAGGGAAGGAGGGAGAGGGAGGTACAGATTAAGAGAAACTTAATAGACGTATCAAGCAATTGGAATGTATGGACCTGAGGTAGGGAAGCCAAAGGGACCCCATTTTGTTTCAAAATGTTATTTATTTATTTATTTATTTATTTATTTAGAGAGAGAGAGAGAGAGAGAGAGAGAGAGAGCCCACAAGGGAGAAGGGCAGAGGGAAAAGGAGAAGCAGACTCCTCACTGAGCAGGGAGCCCGATGCAGGACTTAATCCCAGATTCTGGGATCTTGACCTGAGCCCAAGGCAGGCGCTTAACCAACTGAGCCACTCAGGTGTCCCAGGACTCCATTTTAGAAAGGCTCTGCTTCTGCTGTTTTTCTCTTGGGCCTCATTCACTCATGTTCCATATTTTGCCTCTGAATACACCAAAAAAGCTATGTTCCCACTTCAAAGGGAAAACAAGAAAGTTAACCATTCTCTGAATTTTGTCTTAGACCCCAGACACCTAGTAATACCTAAGAAGAGTCAGATATCAAACATGTTCCGGGACATTAGCTTCAAACAAACCTTAGCTGACACTGGCATCAATACCCCCTCAATCAATTCACTGATTTATGGAATAACATCTATTGTTCACCTGACACTTGCCTGTGACTGACCCTACCCTGGATTCCTGGAGAAACACATACCCTAGACCCTTTTCTAATAAAGAACCCCTACCCCCAAGCAACAAGACTCATTCTTCATTCCTTTGTGAGGCTTCTAGACACTCTGTCTGCTATTCTCTACCTGTCACTTCGCTATTCAATAAACCAGGTTTTCACTTTCTCTGGCTTGTATTTGATTTCTATCTATCCTGCATGAAGCCAAGGACTCTTGGCCGGCCTGGTCGGGACCCTCCCCTGCATTTTCAGATTCAGTCTGCCTGCATCAGACCTGGTTTGGATCCTGATTTGAGTGAACCAGCTATAAAAAAATAATGAGACAATCAAGACTTTAAACGTTGACCAAGTATCCACCTGGTGATAATAAAAAATTACTATTTTATTGCTCTGTTAGGAAAAAAAGAGTCCCTATCTTGTACAATATGGGCAAAATGATATGATCTCTGAGATTTACTTTAGAATAATTCAGGGGGCAGCTCCAGTGGCACAGCGGTTTAGTGCCTCCTTCAGCCCAGGACGTGATCTTGGAGACCCGGGATCGAGTTCCACCTTAGGCTCCCTGCACGGAGGCTGCTTCTCCCTCTGCCTGTGTCTCTGCCTCTCTCTCTGTCTCTGTGTCCCTCATGAATAAATAAATAAAATCTGGAAAAAAAAAAAAAAGAATGATTCTGTACAGTTGGGTTGGGGTACAAACGAAGTAGATTGTCCATAAGTTCCTAATCACTGGAATTGGAAGATGGGTGCCGAGGGCTCATGATCAATTCTCTCTATTTCTGTTTATGTTTGGCAATTTGAATAATGATAGAAGAGATTAGACCCGTTACCTCCCTTTCCTCAAGAGTTAGATTCCTCCTCTGGGCTTGTCAAGCCACCTAACATGTAAAGCTGCATTCCATTGGTTTCCTTCGCCCCCTTGAAGGCAGGGGCTGCCATGAGTCCCCTCCATTTTTTGGGGATGTGGCTCCTGGCATAAATGTGTGACCTAGTCTTGGTTGGCATGTGGTAGAGCATCTGGAGCTCCAGCTAGCAGTAAGTTCCTTTGATGGCAAAGGCCGGAATCTCATCCAGGTCTGTTTATTGGGCCGGGGTGGGGCAATGGAAAAGCTTGGAAAGTAGATAATTTTGCTGCTCAGTGATTGGGGCTGGGCCAGTTTCCTGGGGAATCTGATTGCTGTCTGGACAGACGTGCTCTGAGGAACAGGCAGGACAAGTGCTGCTTTCTACCTCAGAGTTCAGAGGCCTGGCTGGTGCGTCTTCGTGGGCAAGCCCAGCTCACACCCTGCCAGGCAAAGGAGGAAAAGCCAGAGGAAGCAGTGCCTCGGATGACTGGGCACACAGGGAAATAGGACGGAAACTTCTGCTTGGGCCCATGGCCACAAGCACCCAGAGAGGAAACCTGTAGTGTCCTCTACAGTTCCTGGAGAATCCAGGGGCTCCCTTAGAAAGTGAGCCCCAAGGATGAGGCTGCTCAAGCTGCTAATTTTCCTGGCCCACTGGGGAGTTGCCAGAGCTGAACCAGGTAGGTGCTGCAAGTGCCTTCATTTTGTACTATGACCTTGGGATCCGTGGCTCCTGGAAGCTGCCCAAAGAATGCTGAAAGTGCTGCTTAAAAATAGCAAGGCAGGAAGCAGGGAGGTCAGGAAGAGACTTAGTGAGTGGTGGGGGTGTTCTTTGAGCCTAAAGTTTTTAAAAATGTATTATTCATGAAAGACAGAGAGAGAGAGAGAGAGAGAGAGAGAGAGAGAGAGAGAAAGGCAGAGACACAGGCAGAGGGAGAAGCAGGCTTCCTGCCAGGAGCCCGATGTGGGACTTGATCCCAGATCCCGGAATCATGCCCTGAGCCGAAGGCAGATACTCAACTGCTGAGCTACCCAGGTGTCTCTAAAGATTTTTTTTAAAATATTTTATTTATTTATTCATGAGAGACACACACAGAGAGGCAGAGACATAGGCAGAGGGAAAAGCAGGCTTCCCACAGGAAGCCTGATGCGGGACTCAATGCTGGGATCCCAGGATCATGACCTGAGCCAAAGACAGATGCTCAACCACTGAGCCACTCAGGTGTCTGGAGCCTGAAGATTTTAAGTGGAGGCCAGACCTGACCAGGCGAGGGATACTGACTTTGCTAAGAGTTCATGCGTAAGAACCAGCCCTCTGGTAGAGGTAGTTGGTGGCAGGCAGGTTTGTGAAATCATTCAACAAACATTGGTTACGGGCCTTCTGAGTATCACACAGCATTCTAGGAGCCAGGAATGCAGCAGGAAAGAAAAGAATCAAAGCCCCAGTCCTAGTGAGGCATTCCTTCAACTAGGGAGAAACAGACCAAAAGACACATGAACAAGTAAATGGATGATATTCCAGGAGTAATAAGTGTTAGGGAGAATAATAAAGCAGAATAAAGGGGTGGGAGTGGAGCTGGGGGTACTTACGGTGTGGCCAGGGAGTGCCATTTGAGTAGAGACCCGAGGCAGTGAGGGAGGGAGCTGTATCATTCCAGCAAGAGAGCTCAGAAAGCACACAGGCCCTGCGTCTGACACTCTGGGGGTGCAGGTGAGGATGAGCCTGGGGCCAGAGTGGCTGGAGCAGGGTAGGCAAGGTGGGTGGCAGAGATGAAGTCGGGGACCACGGGAGTGGGGCTCAGGGCTGGCACCAGGTCACATATAAACATGTAGATAGCGTGAGGACTCAGGGTGGGATGGGACATCATTGGAGGGTTTTAGGCAGAGCTATGGCGTGATCTGACTCCTGTAAGCTTAAAAGGCGCCCGGGGCTATGCATTGAGAAAGGACCGTAGTGGGACAGGCAGGGTGACCAGATTATCTCATTGTGCCTGAGATTTGCCTCCTTTTAGCACCTGAAGTTCGGTGACCTGGGCACTCCGTCAGCCCTGGGCGCACTGGGGAGGGTGGGGGCGGGGGTGGGGGTTGGTCACCTCAGTAAAGGAGAAACAGCCAGACCCATGGCTGTTGTCATCCTCCAGCGAGCCAGACCTCCCGGCTCTTGTCATCCTCCAGCGAGAGGAGATGGAGGCTTGCCAGGACGGTAGGAGCAGGGCTGGCTGGAGACGGTCTGATTCTGGACAGGACTTGCTGGCAGATGGTGGGGGTGACAGGAGGACTCCAGGGTGACTCCAGGGTTCTGTCTCAGTAGCTGGGAGGACAGAACTGTCATTGAAGAGGCTCAGGAGGAGAGGATGGCGGTTTGATCAGGGATGTGTCCAGTTGGAGATGCCTGTTAGATTTCCCTGTGGTGGAAGACATGTCAGTGGGCGGGCTGGACCTGTGATTCTCCTTGGGATCCTAGGTTGTCCTTTCCTGGAGTTCTGGGATGGGCCCTTACGGGTGACCCAACACCCTTTCTGTAGCGGCAGAAACAAGGATGAAAGAGGGAGGGAAAGGCTCAGGGCTCTGCTGGTTGCTTGTTCTTTGGGGCTCAGTTCTCTCAGGCTGGAGCCTGAAGGGCTGGTGGCCTCTAGAGGCTGCCTTGGTCAGTGCACACCCTTGAACACTGCCCAGGAGTAGCTGGGAGCCCTGGCCAAGTGCTCTGCATGCATGGCTGGGCATCTCAGAGGCCAGCGAGGTGGAGCGCCAGGGCCTGGGGCCAGGAGACCAGAGCAAATTGCCAGAGAGGGACTAGGCTCCAAATGCTGTGACCCAAATGCGGAAATATCATGGGGACAAGCCCTGCGATTGTGCCATTCCCTATGAGGGCGACTTGCCTGGGAGAAGGCTGAGTGGCAGTCCTCCTTCCATCCAGGAGGCAGACCCTAGCCACTCCCTGGGAACCTGGGGGCCCTGCCAGCCTGACCGGAGAACAGAAATGGTTGGAAGCATCTCCCACTCTCTCCGTCCTTCACTTTCAATATGCTTGCTTGGAAATCCAAACACCAGTGGGCGGGCAGCCCCAGAGGCCACCCCAGAGTCCTAGTGGTTAGAAAGGATCCTCCTCCCCACAAATGCACTAAGACGTTCATTGTAGTGTTGTTTATGGTAGTGAAAAATCCTGACAGCAATAATGGAATAGCTGAATGGATTGTGGTAAAACCACCCGGTGGAAAAGTTTCAAGGCGATTCAGCAAAACCAAAAACAATAGTGACAATTATTAAGTACTTGTTTTGTGCCAGGCACTGCTGAAGTTTTCACATAATACCCTCTCGACAGCCTTGTCAAGCAGGGATTATCGAAGTCGCTGAGAAATTAACTAACTACCCCAAGGTGACACATGTAGTTTCTGAGTCAGGACACGAGCCCAGGCTGTACAACCTCACCTTGTTTATAAAATGATGCTGTCAAAATGAACCAAGAAACACTGGAGGTCAGTGTGAAGAAGAGCTAACATTTGTTTTTTTGTTTTGTTTCGTTTTTTTTTTATTATTATTTATGATAGTCACACAGAGAGAGAGAGAGAGAGAGAGAGAGAGAGAGAGAGAGGCAGAGACACAGGCAGAGGGATAAGCAGGCTCCATGCCGGTAGCCTGATGTGGGACTCGATCCCAGGACCGACCCCAGGATCGTGCCCTGGGCCAAAGGCAGGTGCTAAACCGCTGAGCCACCCAGGGATCCCCAGAACAAAATTACATTTTAAAGGAATCTCACAGTACCTGTAAGTTTTTTCCGAATCTGAGACTTTCCTGAAGTGCAGGAGAAGGTGGAGACACCCCGTCAGAGAGCAAGCATACCTGCTCTGCCTTGAACTGTGGGGTTTCTACTTCCACCTTCCTTAGCCAAGAGCTTGGGTGGGGCACCAGCTTGCTGGCTCCGACTCCTCCCACGTATCCCCTACGCAGCACTGTGTTTATCCTTCAGCTTCTAATTGCAGAGAAAGGGACAATCCCTTTCGGTGTGGGTCAGCATGGGAGGCAAACATTTCCCTCAAGAATAAAGCCTATGGGGCTGTCATGTGAAGAGAGAGCAATCTATGGACGTAACGCTAGGGGTCAATGTTGGATTTAACAAGGGAATCTTCTGTGTTTCAGAGGGCCTGAAAGGGGAGTTTATAGGGGAGGAGGGTTATTGCCCAGGGTCAAAAGCAAAAGACTAAAATAGAGACCAGGATCGCCTTGTGATGTGGCTTATACACGACAAGAGAGAAAAGTCATGGAATCACCGAGCATTAGAACCAGCAGGACCTTCAAATAACTTTGTGCAAGACTTTCATCCTACGCTCCAGGGAATAGAGGCTCCAGAAAAGAAGAAAAACTGAGGCCTGAGGGACACAGTGGCCCAGAATATGCACCCACGCTGGCTTGTCCACCACGTGGCCAGGGGCTCCATCTGAGATCACTCCTCTCATCCACGCCTTTATTACTGTCATCATTATGCCCATTCTACAGATGAGGAAACTGGGACTCAGCTGGGGAAATCTCTCATTCAAGTTGCCATTTCCAATGTGGAAGAGTCAAGGTTCAAAACCAGATTTCCCTTATTCCAAGTTCCATGCATGCCCTTTCCAAAACAACCTGCTGCCATAAGCCAGAAAACCTGGGTCCTACCTTTCAATACCTATGTGATCTTGAGCCTCTATGTCATTATCTGTAAAATAGGATAATGATAAAGTAGAGATTAAATAATGATAGTTAAGTGGGATCATACACACATATTGTAATGTGCTGTTAAAGTTTAAGGGATCTTTTTTTTTCTTAAATATCCAAGGTCACACTGCTTGCTAGCGACAGAGTAAAGTGCATTGTGATCATTTCTGCTCTGACACGATGCAAATCACAGGTCTGCCACTAGCTAGCTCACTTTCCTCATCTATAAAATGGTACAATAATAGAATATATTTCATAATTTTGTCATGAGTAGAGTGCATGGGTAGAGTGCTTGGCACAACATCTGGCATTCAGTTGGGCGCTAAATGAATGGCAGGTGTCCTTCTGCCTTCCTTTTCTTGCCTCCAACTGTAGGTAGACTCATCTTTTGGCCAGTTTAAGACCTTCTTAGGCTCTAGGAATTATTTTTGCAAGTCTCCCTCCCCCTATCAGGCATCATAGTTAAAGAATCTAACATTATATGATTTTACTTTATTTTAAATTTTATTTTTTTTATTTTTTTATTTTTTATTTTTTTACTTTATTTTAAATTTTAAAAGATTTTATTTATTCATGAGAGACACACAGAGAGAAGTAGAGACCCAGGCAGAGGGAGAAGCAGGCTCCATGCAGGGAGCCCGACTCGGGACTCGATCCCAGGACCCCGGGATCACGCCCTGAGCCAAAGGCAGACACTCAGCCACTGAGCCACCCAGGTGTCCCTACATTACTGTTTTTAAAATGAATTATTGATTTTTGATGGTATTGTTTTTTTCCCTGAACTTGGGAGCCAATGCATTTTTTTTTTCAGCTCTCAAACATTCCCCTGTGCCTTACAAGGCTACAAGGCCCTAGCCCCTATATTTGTTGTCTCCTGTGGACAAGGAGGCCTGGTGATCCTTTGGTGATGGAGAAGGAAGACCAGGAGACTGTTTTGCCTGCCCAGGGATGGGAAGCAGAACTGAGCTCTCAAAATTTATTTTATTAAAGATTTTGTTTATTTAGTTTAGGAGGAGGGAAAAAGTGAGCAGGGGGAGGAGCAGAGGGAGAGAGACAAGCAGATTCCACTCTGAGCGTGGAGCCCAACATGGGTTCGATCTCAGGTTCGAGCCTGAGATTATGACTTGAGCTGAAACCAAGAGCTGGATGCCCAACTGACTGAGCCACCCGGGTGCCTCCCTGAACTCTCAAATTTTAAACTAGAGGGAGGACTGTGGCCACCAGCCCTTTGCTCAAGGAGGGCCATCCAGGAGGAGACAGGATCTATCTTCACATTGTTCTGCTTCAAATTCTGGCCCTGGATCTGCGCTTTATCTGCAGAGGACAGTAGCTAAGGGGACTCTGGGGCGACAGGGGGAAGGTTGCAGCCACTCCCCCCCTCATCCCATCTCCCTCCCAAGGTGAAAGGGGGACTTGCAGGACACCCCCCCCCAATCAAATTCAGAGTACCTGCTGTTTCGCAGTGCTGAGTGCCTCAGCAGTATCTCCTCCTTGGCACTATCTCAATTAACCCTCACATGGACCCTGAGAGGTAGGAGGCACTGTAGTCCCCCTTTTACAGATGAGGAAACTGAGGCACAGAACTGCTCATGCTCACACAGCTAGTGGGCAATGGAGCTGGAATTCCGTGCTCTCAACCACTCGCTGTAATTGGTACCAAATTTATTCATAGTCTCCATGGTTAATGAACAATAATGACAGCTAAGACTGATACACCTTTTCCTAAAACTGAAGGAACTCATGAATACTTTCTTATTGTAAAAGATTCAGGCAGGATGGATATATAAAGACTCTTCATTTTATTTTTTATTTTTTTTAAAGATTTTATTTATATATTCATAGACACAGAGAGAGGGGGGCAGAGACACAGACAGAGGGAGAAGCAGGCTCCATGCAGGGAGCCCGATGTGGGACTCGATCCCGGGTCTCCAGGATCACACCCCAGGCTGTAGGCGACGCCTAACCGCTGCGCCACTGGGGCTGCCCAAGACTCTTCATTTTAGTGGTACCCCCAGGTGAGGCATCTGCCCAGTGAAGTCTGAGGAACTCGGGTCTAAAAGTAAAGTGTTGAAGTGCCTGATTCCCCACACCTTCCCAGTCTCTCCTGGCCCCAGGGGTCGCTGCCAGGGACAGCAGGTGTTTCGGGATTCTTCTCCACCAGCCCTTTCTCTTTATTATTTTATTTGCTGCTCGCAGACAAGCGGGCCAGATGTCAAGCACCTATAGGCTCAGCAAGGCTAACCAGCTTGTCAGAATCCTCAGCCAACACACCGAGGAGCCTGCATTGGAAACCAGGTAACTCACCTCCCTTAGGGTCCTTCTATTCACCTCCTTCTCCATGATGTTTTTGAGCTTAATTCCTCACAGTCTGTGACGAATCCATAGAAGCCTGTGGCTCCCACTGTTTGATGGGCAACATGTGTGTCTTATGAAAGCCATCTTCTGGAGGCTGAGTCAACATTGATTGTGTCTCGCTTTGGAGTCAGAGAGGGCTGGGCTTGAACCTCAGTTTCCTCATCTGTGAAATGGGCATAAGAACCCTACCTCACAGAATGGCTGCAAGGATGAAATGAGATGAGCGTGTGAAGGGCACCTAGCTCACATTCTCTGAGTGTGTATTCCCCACAGTCTCGCTCATTCATTGGATACGTGTTTGGGCATCTCCACACCCCAGGCACTGTTCTAGGTGCCGAGGACACAGAGGTGAACAAGACAGGCTGCACACTCTCATGGCACTGACACTGTAGACAAGGAAGATGGATGATAAACAAGTCAGCGAGATAGTTGCATTACGTGAGAGCGCTCTGGAGAAAATAAAAGCGAAGGAGGTGATAGCTAGTGACCAGATGGGTGGTGAGGGGTGGGACTGGAGAAGAAGTTGTCAAGGAAGGCTTCTCTGAGGTGGTGACCTTTGAGTTGAGGCCTGAGTGAGGAGAAAGCAGCCTTGGGATCACTGACCTGGGGAAGATTGGGTTAGGCAGCAGAGGAACCAGGCAAAAGGCTGTGCGAGGTGAATGAGTGGGCTGAGGTGCTCCGTGTGAGGTCTGTGTGATCTACCTCCATAATGAAGCCACCAGAGAGCCCAAGGAGGTGGAGGCCTCTGCTCTCCGTGCTATTCCTTCCACTATCGTAGCTTCTCCTGGAAGCTCTGGGAGGCCTCTGGGGCACGCACACACACACACACACACACACACACACACGCACGTGCACACACACGTCACTCCTGGGGAGGCTGGAAGGAGTTTCAGTTCTGTGCTCCGACTAGACTGGAGCTTGTGGGAAGAGGGAACCTGCCAGCTGATGACGTGTGAGCCTGTCAGCAGACAAGGAGTTTCTGAAGTGAAGCAACATTCACTGAGTTTTTTGAGGGCTGACATCAAAGGGGCAGAACCACTCACTGTTTACGATTAGTTGAGAAAAGAGTCTGCTTGAGACCCGGGAATGAATGGCCTCTGCATGGCCTTGGGAGGAAGCCAGGGCACCACACTCCGGAGAGAAGGGCGAAGGGCCTCTCGCTGCATCTGACCTGGCCAGCCGGTCTCAGGCTTGGAAGCAGGTGCACCCCCTTTCAGTTTCTGTGCAGGGGCTCAGGAAAACCCACCAACTCTGCCCATTTACTAGTTGAAATGGGGCAGTTAGTTTCTTTGGCTTGGGGTTTTGTCTCCGTAGGAGTAATTTCGCATATATTAATCACAATTGGTATGACAAATTTTCATTCCCCCAATTATAAACAAAGACTCTCAGTTTGGGTAAAAAATAAACAAGCAGGCATAGGCTGTCTACAAAAAGACACATCAAAAAAAAAAAAAAAAAAAAAGGCACCGGTTTGGGGCCCCTGGCTGGCTCAATCGGTAGACATCGAACTCTTGATCTCAGGGTCATGAGTTCAAGCCCCATATTGGGCATGGAGCCTCCTTCAAAAATAATAATAATAACAAAAAGACACTGGTTTTACTCCCTTAGCAATCACATCTTCCTGGGAGAACACTGAGAACCACACGCCGCCCTCTGTTTACCGTGTGATCTCAGAAGGTTGACATCTTAGCCTTAGTTCCCTTATCTGCAAAATTGGGATGATGATCAATGTAGTTGACCCTTGAACGACACAACCTTGTACTGCGTAGGTTCACTAATACACAGATTTTTTTGATAAACCCAGTACTATAATGTATTTTCTCTTAGGATTTTTCTTAGTAACATTTTTTCTCTAACTTACTTCATTGTACAAATACGGCATATAATATATATACAAAATATGTGTTAATCGACTGTTTATGTTGTCAGTAAAGGCTTCTGGTCAACAGTAGGCTATTACTGTTACATTTTGGGGAAGTCATAAGCTATGCACAGATTTTTGACTATGGAGGTTGGTGCCTCTAACCTGCATTGTCCCAGGGTCAACTGTACCTTCAGGGCTGTGGTGACTGTGTAATGAATGACCTTGGGAGGGATCATGATTTACTTAATCGGTCATTTGCACCTTAATGTAAATAAGCTTCTGATCCTTTCCTGGGACCAGGTTTAGATAAGGAGAGGTGAGTAGTCTTGGAGAGAGGATCAGGGGCTGGACTTTGCCTTCACACTTCTCCTAGAGCCACGCTGAGTGTTCTGTGGCTTGGGTGGTTCCCGTCTTTCCAACCTTGAAGGCAACCCTGGGAAGCTGGGACTCCCAGGCCCAGGCAGGGATTTGCTGGGCTGGGGGCAGGGCTGGGGGTATGACTGTCAACACTGAGTGATACAGGAAATGGAGGAGGAAGTGACAGCAATGATGGACGGGGAGGAAGTCCCAGGCCTTACCCTTGTCTTAGCCAAAACCACAGGATTTAGGGCAGCACCTAAACCTGTTCAATAAGCATTGTTGTAACTACTTATCTGAGGCCCTGTGTTGGGTTCAGATGACAAATCCACCCCATGGGAACTGTTTCTTTGTTTGGATTCCTTTCTCTCCATCACACCAAGAGATTTTTTTTTTTTTTAAGATTGTATTTATTGATTGATGAGAGACACAGAGAAAGAGGCAGAGACATAAGCAGAGGGAGAAGCAGGCTTCCTGAAGGGAGGGGAGCCCGATGCAAGACTTGATCCCAGGACCCCGGGATTATTACCTGAGCCGAAGGCAGACGCTCAACCACTGAACCACCCAGGAATCCCAGTTTTTTTTTGTTTTTGTTTTTTTAAGATTTTATTTTTAAGTAATGTCTATATCCAACATGGGGCTCGAACTTACAACCCTGAGATCAAGAGTTGCATGTTCCTCAGACTGAGCCAGGCAAGCACTCCTCACGCTGAAAGATTTTGGACATTTTAGCCACCCTCGGTTGGAAGCAAGGCCAAGTTTCAGTGGACCACTCCCAGCTGCACTCAGAATTGCTAGCCACTACACGCCCAAGAAGTTCAGCCCAATCTGAAGTTGTGTTCCTCCTTTTCTTGTCCAGCACTCTTGAGTTCCATCTCCACACACGTTCCCCAGGCCTTTGCTGGTATTAATTCACAAGACCTTGCAATGCAATTGGTGCTGTAAACCTTCTCCCAGGTCAGATTTTTGTATGTATTTCCCTGTAGCCTGAGAAGATCTGGCTTCAGTTCTGGACTCAGAGAGGTGCAGCGAGTCACCCAAGGTCACACAGCTTGTAGGTGGCTCCAGAGCTTGAGTGCTTAACGGTGACACTCCTTACACTTTGCTTTCAAATAAGCACTCTGCTTAGAAGCCCCAAAGGATTCTTTTGAGAGTCATGAAGTCCAATTCCCTGTGCTGCTGGGTCCCCTGAGGTGGGGAAATGGAAAGGGTCAAAGGTCACAGGTCAGGAACAGAGCCAGGCTTTTTCTCTGCTCCTCTCAGTGCCTTCCCTGGGCAAGGTCAGACCTGTGGCTCTTTCTCTCTGAACCCTGGCTTCTGAGGAGACTTCCTTTCACATTTGCAGCTCTTCTCCCAGCCCAGGACCCCTCCTGGGCTTCCTCCCCGTCCAGGCTCAGGGAGGTACCAGCATCTAAAAGGGTCTCCTTTCCCCTGCAGGGAAGTTCTGGCACATATCTGACCTGCACCTTGACCCTGACTACAAGGTATCCGAAGACCCCCTCCAGGTGTGCCCATCGGCTGGCTTGCAACCGGTGCCCAACGCAGGCCCCTGGGGTGACTACCTCTGTGACTCCCCCTGGGTCCTCATCAACTCCTCCATCTACGCCATGAAAGAGATTGAGCCGGAGCCAGACTTCATCCTCTGGACTGGGTGAGAGCAGTCACAAGGGCTGTAGTTCACCGGGCCGCTGCTGTGTGCCACCTGCTGGCCTGGCACCCTCCCCACCCTGTCCCCCTTACTCCCGATTCAGAGAGGATGCACGTGAGGCTCAACCTGCCCAAGGGACAGTGGGCCTGGCTGGCCCCACAGCCTGTGCCCTTGACTCTGTGTCTCCTAGCCTTAGCAGAACGCACCTCTCTCTGAGGCTGGGGACGCAGTCATGGCACATCTGGTATCTGGAGAGCTTCTGGCTTTTATTTTATTTTTTTAAATATTTATTTATTTATTTGAGAGGCGGGGAGAGAGAGAGAGCACAAGTAGGGGGAGGGGCAGAGGGAGAGGGAGAGAGAAAACCCCCAGCAGACTCCCAGCCGGGGTGGAGTCCCACACTGAGGCTTGATCCCCTGACACTAAGGTCATGACCTGAGCTGAAGTCAAGAATCAGAGGCTTGGGGATCCCTGGGTGGCTCAGTGGTTTAGCGCCTGCCATTGGCCCAGGGCACGATCCTGGAGTCCCGGGATCGAGTCCCACATCGGGCTCCCGGCATGGAGCCTGCTTCTCCCTCTGCCTGTGTCTCTTTCTCTCTGTGTGTCTATCATGAATGAATACATAAAATCTTAAAAAAAAAAAAAAAAAAGAATCAGAGGCTTAACAGACTGTGCCACCCAGGTGCCCCGAGAACTCCTAGATTTTAAGTCAGGGGAATGAATACTGGGGTCATTCCCACCAGGGTTTAGGGACTCTAAGCCCTAGAGATCCACATGAAGGGAGGGAAGAAGGGAGGGAGGCTGAAAGTGGTCCTGGCTTTGGCACCAAGTGTCCTGGCTGCCCTGGCCTTGGGGGTTCTCACCGGTCAGAGCACTGCTCTGCTGAGGATAGCTTGTGGGGTGATTTCTACTCAGCCAGACTCCATTTCTGCTCCTCATCCAAGAATGCTGCTGTGAGTCCTCCAGCTTCCCTCAGAACTGGCTGTCCTTGTCACTCATGGTCCCGGCTCCTTTCTCCCTCCCTTGGCAGGTGGCCTGTCTGGTGCTCAGCCCTGGGTAGACACTGGGGAACTGAGATGAAAGAAACCTGGAGCTCCCGGTCTTGTTGGCGTTACAGACAAACGCATGGACCATCATATCCCTGCCAGGAAAGAGGGGGGCACTGGGGGTGTGGGAGCTTTTCCAGGGCACCTGACTCCATCCGGCTGGTTGGGGGAGGACTTCTCACAGGAAGTGGCAACCAGGGAGCTAGGGGGGAAGGTTGGCAGGCGCTCTGACTTCCTGCTCCCTCGTCCAGCCTCCATGGACACTTGCACAGGACAGGATCAAACCCATCCTGCCCCCAACTGTCTGCTGGTCTGGTGTAGGAGTGACCGGGAATGACCCTCAGATGGACCCTGTGGTCGGCAGCGGGAGGCTGCAAGGCTGGACACTTCAGAAATGTGCAAGTGTCTCAGGAGGGGCCTGGGCGGCTCAGGAACCAGCGTAAGAAGAGAGTGAGCTTTAGGCTGTGACCCTGAACTCTCCCTCCTAAAGGGATCTTGCTCCGGCAGCCTCTGGATTTTCCAAGGAGGGGCCCTGGGAGGAACACGTAACACTCTGAAAGTCATGATCCCTCTGGGAAAGGCGACTGCTTTGGGATATTCACATCCTTCCACAGAAACATCATGTTTCCTAGAAATCTCTGACACCTAGAGGAGGTGTATCATGTTGAATGAGATGACCTTTGGGACCTTTTATAATTCAGTTTCTAAAAAGTTTTTTTTTTTAATTTTTATTTATTTATGATAGTCACACAGAGAGAGAGGGGCAGAGACACAGTCAGAGGGAGAAGCAGGCTCCATGCACCGGGAGCCCGATGTGGGACTCGATCCTGGGTCTCCAGGATCGCGCCCTGGGCCAAAGGCAGGCGCCAAACCACTGCACCACCCAGGGATCCCCCAATTCCTAAAAATTTAACTTCTCTGGATGAATTGCAATCCCTTAGGGGTAGGCTGTAGAAACTGGAAGCGTTTTCTAAAAGAAAGAATTAGATCCTCCAAACTAGAAAACAACGGGGAGGGGGTGGTGAATTTTGTTGTCTTTGGACCTGCTGGCCTGTCCCTAGGGAGGCCAGAGTGAATAGGTGCCTCTTGGGGCCCTAGGGAGTGTGTCAGAGACAGAGCAGTGTGTAATGCGGGTAAGCACTGACTGGAGCCAGCCTCCACCACTTTCTGGTTCCACAGCTTACCCAGAATTCTCCACCTCTCTGTGCCTTGTTTCTTCATCAAATAAGACTAACAATCGAACCCACGCTGGGGGGCTATCATGGATAACTAATCAGGAGATGTAGGTACAACACATCCCTGCACAAAGCAAGCCAGGGTGAGCTGCTAGTAACAGTATCAGCACTACTATGCTAATTAACTTCTGTGGGGGCTATCGAGGCAGCAGCTGCTTCACCCCATTGGGTCCAGCAAGGTCCTCAGACTTTAGATTGTTGGGGCTCCTACCCATCCCACACTTCACCTTTCCCCTTACTCCTCCCCTGCTCCCTGCCCTTGCTGTGCAATTTTTTAAAGCCCAATGTGGGACTTGAACTCATGACCCTAAGATCAAGACCTGAGCTGAGATCAAGAGTCGGATGCTTAAATGACTGAGCAATCCATGTGCCCGTTGTTGTGCATTTCTGAGTTGGAGGCAGGAATTTAGGGCCAAACAGGGGATTAAATGGTCCTGGGGCAGGTCCTGGATCTGTCCATAGAGTAGGATGAACTCTAAGCTCTGAAGCCAGTTCCAAACTCCTTAGAACCCTTGGGATACAGAGCGGGACTCAGAGATGGCTTTTCCACCCCAAGGTCCCTGGGGGTTTGCCAATCCCCAAGCTTCCCTCTTTACATAATAATATTAATTGCAACCTAGCAGCTACTATTTTTATTTTACTTTATTTTTATTTATTTTTTAAAGAGAAAGGAGAAGAGTTTTATTTGAGCCCAAGATAGGATAGCTGCCTGGGAAATATGCTCTTTGCAAGGAAGAAAGTGGTTCCATGAGTCTACATTTTATATCCTCCCCTTGCCTTTTTAAAAAATCCTCCCCTTGCCTTTTTAAAAAATCTCACAAATACTCTAGGAGTAGGTACCATTATCACCCCTATTTGGCAGACGAGATCACGAGGCTCAGAGAGGTTAAGCAGCCAGGCCAGGGACCCACAGCAGGTCAACGGCAGAGCCCAGGTTTGAACTCTGTCCTGCATGACCCCTGCCTCCAGGCCAGCCCTTGCCTCACAGGGGGTGTCTGAGGGGCAGTTCCACAGCCCATTTCTCATGGCTGAGCTGCCCCTTTCCTGTCTCGTGCCCCTTCCTGAGCTGCCCACACCAAACTGGCTCGGTGGTGTTTTGCAGTGATAACACCCCTCATGTGCCCAACGAGAGGCTGGGAGAAGCAGCTGTGCTGGGAATTGTGGGGCGCCTGACCAGGCTCATCAGAGAGGTCTTTCCAGGTAAGACCCTGCCCTCGTGCTCCCCCTTCACCCTCCCCCCCCAACCCCAGCATTTCCAGAAGGTGGAGCAGCAACAGCGGTAAGATGTGGGGAAAGAACCTTCAACCACTGACCATGCTGGCTGCTGGCCAGGCCCCGGGCCAGGCTCCTCACAGAGATGGATGGTTCCTCCGCTTTGGACAACCCTGCGAGGAACACGAGCCATCCCCGGCCTGTGTTTACACGCAGGTTCCTACTAAGGGGAGCGCCTGACCTTCACTGCCCTCTGCCCCAGCCTGTTTTACACGGGCTCACAGCCCTTCCCAGAGCACCTGCAGCTGCATGGAGGCGCGGTGGCCTGCTGGGTCTCACAGGGACTCACGCACATAGCCCTGTGTCCTGCTCTGCTCCCGGAGCTCCCACTCACCGCCCTCAAACCACCCCGGCTCCTGGGGCCTCTGGGAGATGCTCCTTTCCAGCCAAGGTGCCGTTCTTGGCGCTCCCAAGGTCTCCAGGGCCCAGGAAAGCAGGCAAAGCCTGTGGGTGATGAGGGAGGCAGTCCCATGGGACCTGACAAGGAGAGCGGGATCTGCACGCCCCATCAAAAGGCCCCCCAAAATGTTTTTAAGCAGACTGGGCCAAACACAGGGTGCTGGGGACTGACTCAGGCTCTCAGGCTGCCAGTTGGGGGCCGGTCAGAGCAGCCCGCTAGCCCCCAGCCCTACCTCCTCCGAGTTGGGGCACCTCTGCATCCTCTAAAGGTCTTACTCCCGGATTCCCAGGACCCAGATATAGATTAATGATAATAAGTCATCGCTGCAGCAGTAACTACATGTGTCTGTGTACTGAGTGCTAAGTGGCAGGCACTGCTCTCAAAATATTATATGCTGTGGCTCCTTCATTGTCGTGATGCTCCTGGAGAGAAGTGCTATTAGGATTTCAATTTTACTGGTGAGAAATGTGAGCCCTGGGAGTCAAGTAAACTGGTCAAAGTCATGTGCCAAGGGCAGCGACACAAATCCTGGTTTGAGCACCACTCTTATCCATCACTCCCGCTGCCGCTGTAGGAGGGGCCCTGCTCTGCTGTCACCATCCCACATCTGTCCTCGAGGCAACCTTCTCTCTGCCACCTCCTTCCCTGGACGTGAATCATTTCATGCAGAGTTGTCTGGATGTGTAGCTAAGGCACCTGGGGCTCAAATCTAGTCAGTTTCTAGGGAGGGATTCAAACTCAGATCCAACTCTGAGCACTCCTTCCTCTGCTCCACATGGGCTTCCGGAATAGAAGGGAAATAGTGGACAAGAAAATGCTTTACATGCTCATTACTATGAGTTCACACGCAGATGTCAATTAGAAGATCCTCTAGTTTATTACACATGTGCACATTTTTACTGAATTTCCTAATATCCAACATGCCATCAACTGCAACGTGCATCATTATTTTAGGTATTGCTCAGAAAAACATGCTTGTTAAGGTATGACGGCGCTCTCTCATGGCCTCAGGGGTAAGTCACAGCCCACCTGCAGGGACATTAAAATAAGAACATAGGAGAAGCACTGAAATGAGATATTATCTTATTTGAGAGTTATAGCAACACAGGCCATGCAGAACACTCTCCATTTTATAAATAAGCCGAATCACAGAGAAGTCAAAGCAAATTGTTAGAGAGGAGGAAGGGACTGGAAGTTGATATCTAGGGTCCACGTCATGTGTCATGTGATCTTTCTGCCATGTGCCTACTACCTGCTTTTCCCATCAGAGTCACCGTGAGCGCTGGCCCATCTGCTCCAGCACGGCTGAGTGGTGTGCACAGGTGCACTAGGCAAACTGAGCCTGCTCCTGACTCAGGCTTATCAGTTCCAGGGGGGCCATGCCCCAGAGATTCCATTTTCTGTCTGCGCAGAAGGAGGAAAATAATGGTACCCATCCCGTACGTTGTTGTGAGGATTCAGTAAAGCAATCCACTCACTCATTTAGCCAAAAAGTATTTACTGAGGGTCTACTGTGAGGGAGCTTTCAAAGGAACTTGGCTGTGAGCTAGATGCCAGGTTGTGCTTCTGCGTGTAGGGTGGCTTCTCACCATGCCCAGCACAAAGCAGCAGCAATAAAAGGGGAGAGCTTCTTTCTCTTCTCATCTGTCCTTGGAATTCCAGGGGTTTGTGTTTTTTCTAAATGGATTCTTTTTTTTTTTTCAAGATTTATTTATATTTTAGCATGGGGGGGAGTAGAGAAAGAGAATCTCAAACAGACTCCTTGCTGAGCATGACCCCAAGATCATGACCTGAGCTGAATCCAGTCTGAATCTTAACTGACTGAGCAGCCCAGGTGTCCCTCTAAATGAATTCTTTTTTTTTTTTAAATTTATTTATTTATTCATGAGAGACATACAGATAGAGAGAGGGGCAGAGACATAGGCAGAGGGAGAAGCAGGCTCCATTGCAGGGAGCCTGACGTGGGACTCGACCCTGGGTCTCCAGGATCAGGCCCTGGGCTGAAGGTGGCGCTAAACCACTGAGCCACCCAGGCTGCTCTAAATGGATTCTTAAGGGCTACCAGCTAGTGGCATGTATGTAAAAGGGGTGAGGTTTTTCGGGGCCGTTATGGAGATGGCTTCTGGGTTTGCAACGATTCCTGATGGGAATGTTACAACCTCCTCCTTCTGCAGAGCTTTCAGCACTCCCAGATCTTGTAGGCTCCGCGGGGCAAAAAGTTTGTGAAAACTTCCCAAGTGGGAATTAGAGGCTCCAGCCTCCCTCATTGGTTCAAGGTCACTCCCTGGGGAATGCCAAGCTCATGAAAGGGCACAACCCTGCCCTGAGCTCAGAGGACTTTTTGGTTAATTGTCCAATATTTATTGAGCAACTACTACTTGCCAGACATAGACGTAAAATAAAAGCAGGAATGAGGTTCCTGGCAAGGAGGAAGTGACTCTGATGGGTTCCCCTCCCTGAGGGGTCATCCACAAGCCACTTCCTACTCTGACCCCTGTCCCTCCTCCCCCCATCTCCATTGCACACTTCCACAGCAAGTGGCTCTTCCCTTTTTGTGACAGCCCTCACACCGCTATTAACTCAATACCTGTCAACCCTATAGCCCAGCAAGGTCCCTGGGACTAGGACTGGGTGCCTGGTTCCCGGGGCTACGCATCGGTCCCCACGAGGTGTTCAATAAACACCTGTTGAATCACAAATGTGTGAAACTCCTAGGGCTCCCAGAGTGAACCAGACCCCTTCCTTAACAGGAAATGGACCTGGAATTGCTAAGAACAAGCAGCTCACATTACCCAGGGGCTCACAAGGGATATGACGATCATTTAGGTCTTCTAGCTTTCTTCTCATCCTCTGATGTTTCCTTCCAAGCGGGAAACTTTCCTCTGGGAATGGGGTTAGGAGCTGGAATCAGAGAACTCACTGTTCTTCCTACCCAGATCTGAGCAATGCTGAGCCAGATTGTACTGAATGTTGTTCTCTGCCTGTCTCTGTATTTGTGCTATGGCCCTTGGTTCTTGATGGCCAGTGGCAGACCAAAAAGTACTAATTCCCCCCAAACGCTTTCACATAAATATATTTATATGTCTCTTTTTCCTCCCAGATACCAAAGTCTACGCTGCTCTGGGAAATCATGACTTTCACCCTAAAAATCAGTTCCCACCAGGAAACAACAACATCTACAATCAGGTAGCGGAACTGTGGGCACCCTGGCTCAGTAAGGAATCCATCGCTCTCTTCAAACAAGGTACTAGCACCATTTGCAACTAGAAGCACCTACTTGTCTGCCAGGGTCTGGTCGAATTGTCTTCACAACGACCCCAGGAAATAGGTACTGATTTTATCCCCAGTTTACAGAAAAGGAGACAGAGGCTCGACGATGTCGAGTCCCTCGGCCTAGGTCGACCAGCTTAGAGGTGGCCTACTTGAGAGCAGAATCCAGGGCTGACTCCACTGCCCGTGCTCTCCACGGCACTGGGGATCATAAGTGAATGTTTATTGAGCATTTGCTGGTGCCAGGCACTACTCTCAGCATATTCCAAAACTCCTCATGGAAACAAAGGGGCAGCAGTCACCTCCAGTTCAGCTAGGGTTTCCCACCCTTGGCCCGAGGGACATCTTGGGCCAGATAATTCATTGTGGGGGCCATCCTATGCATTGTAGGATGCTTAGGGGATTCATGGATGCTAGATATGAGTAACCACTGGATACAGTAACACCTTCCATTGCCAATACAAAAATTTCTCCAGACACTGCCGAATATTCCCTGGGGGACAAAATCAGTGGCTGAGAACCACTGATCAGAGACACAGCCAGCCCAAGGTGACCCTGCCTACTCTTCCCTGTCCTCAGTCCCCACTGGTCAAACCCACCCAGAGGCCTGCTGATTTAGTCCACAGAGAGTTGAGTGAACAGGGTTGATGGTGGATCTGCAGGGGCAAATGCATCTTATTGTAATGCACATTATAGAAAGGAAGAAACCAAAGCCCAGAGAGGTGAAGTAAAGATTTTCCCAAGCTGCACAGCTAATAAGTGCTAGAGTCAGGACTTGAGCCTAGGCAGCGGGCCTCCAGAGCCCCTGGTCTTGCTCACATGCCCCTCCTATGGGGACGATGGGAAGAGGGGATGCAAGGGCAGGAGGAGGTGGGAGTGACGGGGAGGGACACAGAAGCGTGTCTCATCAGAGGCAGGGGGCCGGCCCTTCAGATGCTCTCTGGCTGTGACACCTTAGGTGCCTTCTATTCCGAGAAGTTGCCAGGACTGAGTGGCGCTGGGCGAGTCGTGGTCCTCAACACCAATCTGTACTACAGCAACAACGAGCAGACAGCTGGCATGGTGGACCCCGGCCAGCAGTTCCAGTGGCTAGAAGAGGTGCTGACCAACGCATCCCGAGCTAAGGAGATGGTAAGGCTCCTGCCTCCACCTGCTACCTCTCTGGGGTGGACTCTGAACACGTCTCCCACCCCTGTTCGACCTCAGCCTCTCGCACGAGGTGCCTAGCTCACGGAGGGTCCTTCATCAGCCTGGCCCCGGGAGGGGGCTTCTCCTGTCCTTGTCACAGCCTGTGAAAAAGAGCAGGGTACCCCAGGTGGCAGGCTCAGCACGGGCAAAAGTACAGAGGTGGGAACCACATGGGGGAAAGCCATGGCTGGGTACTCAGTGCTGGAATCTGCCCCGGGAGTGGGCTGGGGGTAGCTTTGAGCATCCCTGAGCCCCCTGGGCCACCCCATCCTTGCAGGTGTACATTGTCGGCCACGTGCCCCCGGGATTCTTTGAGAAGACACGGAACAAAGCGTGGTTCCGGGAGAGCTTCAATGCGGAATACCTGAAGGTGGTCAGGAAGCACCATCGAGTCATCGCAGGGCAGTTCTTCGGGCACCAGCACACCGATAGCTTCCGGATGTTCTATGATGATGCAGGTACTCGATGAGGAGGACAGCTGCCAGCCCACCCCCTCCCACTCTTGCCAGGCTCTCAGGCCTGCTATCTCTCTCCTGAAAGGTGCCCCCATCAGTGTCATGTTCCTTACACCTGGAGTCACCCCCTGGAAAACCACCTTACCTGGCGTGGTCAACGGGTCCAACAATCCAGGCATCCGGGTATTTGAATACGACCGAGCCACACTGAGCCTGCAGGTGAGGGGCCCTGGGTCTGCTGGGGCCAGAGCGGGAGGATGGGGAGGGACCGAATGTTTTACCGTCTTGCCTAACTCCTTCCAGCTGATCCACTCTCCTCTAGAATTTGGGTTTAGAACCCCTGAGCCACTCCAAATTCTGCAACCAAGTCAGGTCAATTCTTGGTCCCCAGATCTCCCTTCACCCCAGATCACAGCCTCCTACCTGGCCTTCCTACCTCTAGCCCTGCCCTGTCATAGCTCATCTACTCCATACTACAGAAGGCACTAATCTTTTTAAAGCCTTTTCTCTCTCCTGCTCAAAAACTTTCAGTGGCTCCCCAGTGCCCACAGATAAGCTGGATCTCTTTGGCCTGGTATTCAAGACCTCCCACAGTATGACCTCATGCCCATTGCCTACCTCATGCCTGCACCGACTAGGCCTCAGCCAAAGCAGGCTCCTAACTCATCAAGCAATCCCTCATCTCCTGGGAACTGCTTGTGATTGTTGAAATGGCGAAGAAATAGCATTCCGTAACTTTTTCTTTTTTTTTTTAATTTATTTATGATAGTCACAGAGAGAGAGAGGCAGAGACACAGGCAGAGGGAGAAGCAGGCTCCATGCACCGGGAGCCCGACGTGGGATTTGATCCCGGGTCTCCAGGATCGCGCCCTGGGCCAAAGGCAGGCGCCAAACCGCTGCGCCACCCAGGGATCCCTCGTAACTTTTTCAACAAAATGTGCTATAAGCATCTACCATGAGCCAGGTTGGGTTCAGGAGTTAGAGAAGTGAACAGCTTTCCCGCAGCTGACATTCTTACAGGAGGCACACAATAAATAATAAAGGAAAGTTAAGCATGGCATGGAAAGAAGCACTAAGGACAAAGCAGAGTGAGGAGGCAAGCGGGCTTGTTGTCGGGTGTGTGGCACATGCACGTGCATGCTGTGAGGTCGGTGGGACTGGAGTGCCACCAATCGGGTGACATTTGAATTCTGAGTAAATTGAGGGTGGGAACCAGGTGAGGATCTGGGGAAGGTGGAGGAAAGAGCAAGACTAGAGCGCCCTGGGTGGGAACATGCGTGGTGTGTCAGGGAAGAGCAAGGTCTGTGGCTGCAGAGGAAGGCCCCAAAGGGAGAGTGGAGGGACGAGATCCTGTCAGTCATGATTAGGACTCTGGATCTGGAGGGTTTGGGGCAAATATTCTGGCTTAGAATTTTAGAAAACCACCCTGTCTGCTATGCAGAGAACAGGCTGTAGGGGGCAAGGGCAGAAACGGGGGTGATGATGAGTTAGGGGGTGACCCCACAATAACCACTGAGAGGAGACGGTGGTGTGGGCCAGGGTGTGGCAGTGGGGCAGTGAGATGCCTCAGATCCTGCATGTAGGCTGAAGGCCGCGAAGACAGGATTTGCTGGTGCCTGGATGAGGGTGTGAGAGAAAGAGAGGAGTCAAGGTTTTGGCCTCGGTGCCTGGAAGGGTGAAGCCACCCTTTACTGAAATGGGATCACTGTGGGGGGAGCAGGTTTCAGAAGGAGGAACAGAAGTCTGGTTTGGGACCTGTTTACTTTGGAAGGTCTAAATGGTGTCTTAGTGAAAATGTCTGAGCTGAGGAGGCAGCTGGGTATTCCAGCTGGATGCCCAGGAAGAGGTGGGTGTGGAGGTTTAATCCAGTTGTTGAGGGAGGACATTTAAAACTAGGGACTGGGGCAGCCCCAGTGGCTCAGCGGTTTGGAACCGCCTTCAGCCCAGGGTGTGATCCTGAAGACCTGGGATCGAGTCCTGCACGGAGCTCCCTACAGCAGGAGCCTGCTTCTCCCTCTGCCTGTGTCTCTGACTCTCTGTGTCTGTCTTATTTATTTAATAAATAAATAAAATCTTAAAAAAAAAATAAAACTAGGGACTGGATGAGGTAAGCCAGGTCAGGTCCTTGATTCTAGAGTCAGTGTGCATGTAGAGGTCTGACATGTTTCAAGAGTGTGGCCTGTTGACCACATGGGCACTCAGAGGGCCTCAGCAGAGGAATCCCAGGCTGGCTCCCCACGCCCCCCACCCCCAACATGCCCTACATCCTTCTCAGGGAGGGAGTCAGAGGGTTTGAATCCCGGCTCCACCACTCATGAGATTTTTGACCTCTTCCCGCCGCCTCCACTCATCTGTAAAACGGAAGTAACAGTACCTCCCAGGGTTTGGAGAGGACCCGCTAAAATAATGTAACGTGCCTACGGGGAAGCTGCCATCCATACAGGCAGCTCTTCCTACCCCACTTCTAGTGACCTGAGGCAGGTCCACAAAGGTTAAGTGGAAAGCAGGGAACAAACAGATCAACCTTTCCAGAGTCTAGTTCTGAAGATACATGCGATCCCAAACCCTCCTCAAGCACAATTCCACAACCTCTTTCAGCCGGGCACCCCATCCCGCTTCTTCAAGTGGCTTTTTATCCATTACTTCTGTAAATATTTACTGAGCTTCTCTGGGTACCTGGGACAGAACATGTGGAGGCCGCCGCGGGGTTAGCAACCTGGATTCCAGACCCCACCCCTGCCACTAAACACCTGTAGGGCCCTGGACAAATGAATTAACCACTTAGGCCTCAGTTTGCCCATCTATGAAATGGGGGTCATAAGGTCAGTTCCCTCATCGGCATAGCGGGCCTACCCGGTAAGTAGGAAATGCTAACCGAAGGCCGGCATTGTGGGAGCTGTAAAGAATCTGGGGGCAAATGCGAGGTGCGGGATTGTGGGGGTGAAAGCTGCCAGCTGCTCACGGCCTGCCCTCCCCCGCGCCCTCCCTCCAGGACATGGTGACCTACTTTGTGAACCTGAGCCAGGCGAACGCGCAGGGGACCCCGCTCTGGGAGCTCGAGTACCGGCTGACCCAGGCCTACGGGGTGCCCGACGCAGGCGCCCGCTCCATGCACGCGGCGCTGGGCCGCATCGCCAGCGACCCCCGCGCACTGCAGCGCTACTACGTCTACAACTCGGTCAGCTACGAACCCTCGGCCTGCGAGCAGGCCTGCCACGCCGAGCAAGTGTGCGCGCTGCGCGAGGTGGCCTTCGACGCGTACGCCGCCTGCCTGCGCGCCCCCGGCACCGCGCCCGCGCCCCGGCTCGCGCTCCTGCTCGCGGCGCCGCTGGGCCTGCGCGCGCTGCTGCCGCGGTGACCCGGGGCCGGCCCGGAGCAGCCGCCGCTCGGGGACCAGGCCCGGAGAACCCCCCCCTCCCCACCTCGGCACGGAGTTTAAAAGTTTCATTGGAAAAACAATGCTCAAAAAAAAAAGAAAAAAAAAAAAAAGGAAAAACAATGCTCATCGAGCATCCTATGCTGTGCGTCTTTCCTCTTAGCATAGAAGTAATGTGGTTTTTTTTAAGATTTTATTTATTTATTCATGAGACACACACACACACACACACACACACACACACACACACAGAGAGAGAGAGAGAGCAGAGAGACAGGCAGAGGGAGAAGCAGGCTCCGTGCAGGGAGCCCGAGGCCGGACTCGATCCCTGGTCTCCAGGATCAGGCCCTGGGCCGAAGCGGCGCTAAAGCGCTGCGCCACCGCCGCCGGGGGAGCCCTATGGATAATGCTGAATGCAACTCCCCTGCGCAGTTTGTGAACGGGTCTTGCAGGTTCCCCCCCACCCTGGCCTCCCCGCGTGTGGATGGTCCGAGTAGTACCGTGGGCCTCCAGGGAGGGGCGCCCCGCGGGCCCGTGCCCTCGGGCTCCACGGGCGCTCGGCCCGCTCGAGGCACACCCGCTTTGCGAAGTCCCGCCGTCGGGGAACAGAACCGGCCTCGCTGTCCTGCGACCGCGCGGATGCGAGGGGTCGCAGTCCCAGCGCGGGCGCCGCTCTCCCGGCCCTTCCGTCGTCTCCATCGCAAAGCGAGGCGAAGACAAGTCCGGGGAGGCTAAGGACGGACGGAGTGGCCGGGCGGTCTTCGGGCCCAGCGGCCCTCGGGCGCGGCGGGGCCGGCCTCCCGGGGCGCCGACGGGCGCGGGCAGCGCCGCGGGCGCCCCCAGCCGCGGGGTCCGCGGGCCTCGCTCCTCCCCGGACGGGGCGGGGCGGGGAAGTCCCGCCCAGGAGGCCCGGGCCCTGGGCGGCCCCTAGGGCTGCGCCCGCCTCCTTCCTGCCGCCGCGACCCCGGGCCCCGAGGGCGGGCCTGAGCCCAGAGGAGGAGGAGGGGGAGCGGCTGGCGGGTCATGCCCTGGTTGCCCCGCGCCGCGCTCCTCTGGGACGTGGTCCTGGGCTTTGGGGGCACCGCCGCCTTCCTGATCGACCTGGGCGCCGACCTGTGGGCCGCGGGCCAGTACGTGGTCAGCGGCCGCTACCTGTGGGCCGCGCTGGTGCTGGCGCTGCTGGGCGTCGCCTCGGTCGCGCTGCAGCTCTTCAGCTGGCTCTGGCTGCGCGCCGACCCCGCCGGCTTGCACGCGCCGCAGCCCCCGGGTCGCTGCCTGGCGCTGCTGCACCTCTTGCAGCTGGGCTACCTGTACAGGTGAGCACCACGCCCTCGGGGAGAGGGAGGCAGGCGCCTCGGGCTGCTAGCCCCGGGGAGGGCCGCGACGCCGCGAAGGGGGCGGGAAGGGAGGATGCGGACCCAGGAGAGGAAACTAAGCCCTGTGGGCACTGCTGCCCACAGGTGAGCTCCCCGCCCCTAAAGCCTCAGAGCCCAGGCCGGCAGACAGCCCTCTGAGCTCCTCCTCTAGCCCTACCCTCCTGCCAACCCTGGGGAAGAAACTGAGGCTCATGGTCTGGAGTCAGGCCTCTCTGGGCTCCAGTCCTCGCTAATTCACCGTCTATGGCCTCATGCCTGCGTTCTCTAAGCCTTTTTCCTCTTCTCCGAAAAGGCAACAGTGATGTAGAAACAGGTCTGGCAGGCGGCCTCTTGTGGGGAGTGGAGGCAAGAGCTGAGGTGCCTAGTATGGTGCTGGGCTCTTGGTGGGCTCTAGGGTATCGGCCGACTCCTTATATTTTCCATACAAAAAAAAAAAAAAGTTCCTTTTTTCCCTGGGTGGGGCCTCAGGCAGTCACTGGAGCCTCCGGGTCTCAGTTTACTCATTGCTAGTGGGGAAGGACAAACAGTGTATGTTCTCATTCATTTGGGGAATATGAATAATAGTGAAAGGGAAGGGAGAAGAAATGTGTGAGAAATATCAGAAAGGGAGACAGAACATAAAGACTCCTAACTCTGGGAGATGAACTAGGGGTGGCGGAGGGGGAGGAGGGCGGGGGGTGGGGGTGAATGGGTGACGGGCACTGATGGGGACACTTGACGGTATGAGCACTGGGTGTTATTCTGTAGGTTGGTAAATTGAACACCAATAAAATTTAATTTATAAAATAAAAAAAATCATCATTATGAACTCACAGATGAAATATTTTCAGTGTTCCAATCCACTGGAATTATTATTGATGCTCACACATCTCAGCTTTGACCTATGGGAGCCTTTTCAGTTTGGCTCCTGAATCCTTGTGACACACCTGCATGGTCTCGAATAGATTTTTCTTAGTTTCTGGTGTAAGATGTTCCAGACCATTGCACATTTCCTCTCTAGGAAGTTTTCTCTTTCCCAGGGAGCCCTGGAATCCTGTGGGAAATAGTAGTAAGAGACCACAGTCTGGGGAACAAAGGCTTTTGAGGGTGGGGTGGGCTTGGGGGCTGCCCTGGATAATGAGGCAGTTCAGGTAATCCATTAAGTGCTTTGAAGAAAAAAGCCAGAACAGTATAATGAACTCCCCATGCCCATCTACCAGCTTCAACCAGCTATTAGCTCACCTGGCACAAAGCAAAAATCCCAACACTGTGACCTGAGGCAAGTCACATTGAGCCTCAGTGTCCTCATCTATAAAACGAGAAGGATATTCCTTGCTCCATCTTCTGTGTGATATGGCTCAAACACAGCGGAGCCACCTCTTGAATTTATAAACCAGGTACTAATCGATGCCCAGAAAGGAAACAAGTTGCCAAGGTCATCAATCTGTGTTTTTCTTTTTCTTAAAGATGCATGCATCTATTTTAATTTATTTATTTTATTTTTTTATTTATTTCATTTTTTTTAAAGATTTTATTTATTTATTCATGAGAGACACAGAGAGAGGCAGAGACACAGGCAGAGGGAGAAGCAGGCTCCATGCAGAGAGCCTGACGTGGGACTCGATCCATGGTCTCCAGGATCACGCCCTGGGCTGCAGGCGGCGCTAAACCGCTGTGCCACCGGGGTTGCCCTACATGTGATTTTCTAATTGCGTGCGTGTGTGTGTGTGTGTGTGTGTGTGTGTGTGTGTAAGACAATTTTATTGGGTAGAGTAGCCACTTTCAGTTTTATATTGTACTGATTACTTCTACCAGTAATAATCAGTATGAATTGGATAATACTGATAGAATTTTTTAAAAGATTTTTTAAATTTATTCATGAGAGACAGAGAGAGAGAGAGAGAGAGGCAGAGACAGAGGCAGAGGGGGAAGCAGGTTCCATGCAGGGAGCCCAGCGCAGGACTCGATCCCTCGTCTCCAGGATCACGCCCTGGACTGAAGGTGGCACTAAACTGCTGAGCCACCCGGGCTGCCCCGATAGAATATTTTAAGGATTTATTTTTAACTTATTTCTACCTGCAACATGGGACTTGAACCCACAACTCCAAGATCAAGAGGTTCGTGCTCTATCTACTGGCCCAGCCAGGTGCCCCCTACAGAATTATTTCAATTTCGGAGAGGCCTTTTTATGTGGCAGAGCACCCACAACTATTTCATGCTCAATCTATTCAAGTCTTACAGCTAAAAACTTGAAATCAATCTTTGGAATATTTAAACATTGTTTACAAAATTAATTAAACATCCTGAGATCCCTGGGTGGCTCAGTGGTTTAGTGCCTGCCTTCAGCCCAGGGCTTGATCCTGGAGTCCCGGGATCGAGTCCCACGTCAGGGTCCCTGCAGGGAGCCTGCTTCTCCCTCTGCCTGTGTCTCTGCCTCTCTCTCTCTCTCTGTGTCTCTCACGAATAAATAAATAAAATCTTAAAAAAATAATTAAACATCCTTAAAATTTTAAACCTCAAAGTTTTGGTATGGCTGATTCTTCTGAGTACTTCAGATCTCTTAAAGAAGAGACAAAATATACAAAAATGATGTTTTCTTGTGAGGCTAATGTTGTTTAAGCTTCAGAACTCCTAGTCCTCACTCTCTTCCAGGGCCCCTTCTTTTGTCTGGATACATATTTACTTTCATACTTTAGCATTCTTTTTCTTACATACAGACACACAAATTGTATTTTATTTTTTAAATTAATTTTTTTTTTTAAAGTAATGCCTACACTCAGCATGTGTCTCAGACTCAAGATCTGAGATCAAGAGTTGTATGGCTTACCTGAACCAGCCAGGTACCCTGGGGCATACAAATTGTATAAGCCTTAGGTCCCACAGAATCTGGATCCTCCTGCCGCCACCCCCACCCCTTGCTTCCTTGGATCACTGCCTTATTTATTTTGTTATTCTCTTAGAGTTTCTATAAGACTATTTTTATTCCTCTCTGGGCTTTCAAAAATCCCATCAGACTGAAAAGAAAAAGAAATGTCATCTTAGTCCAGTTGAAGTTATTGGATCTGGGTCTTTAATCAATCAGTTCTTGGTCAGGACTCAAGACTTGCTTGTGCCAGTGCCAGGAGACTGTCAGCAGGCCATGCATGATCTTCTTTTTGTTACGTCTCTAAGACTTTTCAAGTCATACCTCCACATAGGTTTTAGTTTTTTTGTAACTTTGTGTCTTTCCTCAAAATCATGGGTTGTCCATCTAACTTGGGCAGCATTATATAACTCACTGTCCTGTTTGATAGCACTGATGGGGACTTTCACATTTTTGAAAATTCATGTATTCCTATTAATACATTATTTTGTTATATTAATAGGACCACCTGAAGGCTTCACTTCTTAGAAGAGGAAGTGAGTTCTGTGGAGTTAGCAGGATTTGAGGATGGTCGGCTAATTGGCTCTTGTTGTCCTCACCTACTTACCCATTCTGCCCACAGTTCCCTTTGTCTGAACTATTCGGCTCCTTACAGGCCTGTGAGTTTCATCCCTTATCCAGGTGGGAACAAGTACACATGTATACTTCATGAATAGACATCTAACTAATAAAAGAAGCAAATATGTTACTCATATGTGTTAACATTACTTATTAAGATTAAAAAGTTAGAGGGCACTTGGCTGGCTGAATCAGTAGAACATGTGGCTCTTGATCTCCGGGTTGTGAGTTCAAGCCCCATGTTGGGTGTAGAGCTTACTTAAAAGAGGAAAAAAAAAAGGAAAAAGGTTAAACATATTCTATAATAGTCGCTATTTTTTTAAAGATTTTATTTATTTATTCATGATAGACATAGAGAGAGAGAGAGAGGCAGAGACACAGGCAGAGGGAGAAGCAGGCTCCATGCAGGGAGCCCGACATGGGACTCGATCCCGGGTCTCCAGGATCGTGCCCAAAGGCCGGCGCCAAACCGCTGAGCCACCCAGGGATCCCCCTATAATAGTCACTATTCTTGCACTATTCTTTGTGCGTTTCAACCAGTTTTTGTACTCTTTTTCTAATTGGGACTTTCTTTTTTTTTTTTTAAAGATTTTATTTATTTATTCATGATAGTCACAGAGAGAGAGAGAGAGAGAGAGAGAGAGAGAGAGGCAGAGACAGGCAGAGGGAGAAGCAGGCTCCACGTAGGGAGCCCGACATGGGATTCGATCCTGGGTCTCCGGGATCGTGCCCCGGGCCAAAGGCAGGCACCAAACCGCTGCGCCACCCAGGGATCCCCCTATAATAGTCACTATTCTTGCACTATTCTTTGTGCGTTTCAACCGGTTTTTGTACTCTTTTTCTAATTGGGACTTTCTTATTTGTGTTGTCATTGTGAACTCATGGCCTTTCACAGATTTAAATTTTCCAGTAACCTTGGCAGCAGCAATAATAAAATAATCATCATATTGTTACGGATGCCACGGTTGCCGCATCTTAGCTGGTGAAAGGTAAGTTCCTTTGTCCTGTCAGTGCTGCTAATGCTATTTATAGCCTTTTGGCTTTCTGACAACAGGAGAGGATGTTCCCATGCCACAATGCCATACAGTCTGATTTTTTTCTTCTTCCTCCAAGCCATGGACTCAGCGTCCCTCCTCTGGGTGGAAAACAGCACACATGAGCCTTTTGAGAGTTGTCTGTGGGTGGGGGCTGCTGCTCTTGGAGTCCTCTTAGTAATCACTCAGCAATGACAATAGTTAATTTTTTTAAAGATTTTACTGATTCAATTGAGAGAGAGCACGAGTAGGGGGAGCAACGAGGCAGGGGGAAAGGGAGAGGAAAAAGCAGGCTCCCCGCTGAGCAGGGAGCCCAATACAACAAGGGGCTCTATCCCAGGACCCTGGGATCATGACTTGAGCTGAAGGCAGATGCTTAACCGGCTGATCCACCCAGTGCCCCAATGATAGTTATTTTTTAAGGTTAGAAGTTTTCATTTATTTTTCCAATTTAACATGGAGTGCTATTACCTTACATTTGTTACACTGGCAGATAATTTGTGGATAGCATTGCTTGCTTGTTTTAATATTGAGGGGAGGGCATCCGATTGGCAAAGACTTAGAATCTGGGCATGTCGCTGGGTCAAAGGGCAGGATCAAAAGGTCCTGCTTTGGGACGCCTAGGTGGCTTAGCAGTTAAGTGTCTGCCTTTGGCTCAGGTCATGATCCTGGAGTTCTGGGATCGAGTCCTACATCGGGCTCCCTGCGTGGAGGCTGCTTCTCCCTCTGCCTTTGTCTCTGTGTCTCTCATGAATAAATAAACTCTTAAAAAAAAAAAAAGGTTCTGCTTTATTCACTTAATCTTCACACAGTCAAATGAAGTAAGCACTCTTAGCATCCTCATTTTACAGATGAAGAAACCGAGCTTCCCAGCCTTCTCCATACCATAGGCTCATGGGCAAAATAATGCTTATACAGCACACTGGATGAAATATTCAAGGCTGACAGGAGCCAAAGGTACAGGGTGACCAGTAGTCCCCGTTTGCCCAGACTTCCCCAGTTTTAAAACTAAAATAGGGATCCCTGGGTGGCACAGCGGTTTGGCGCCTGCCTTTGGCCCAGGGCGCGATCCTGGAGACCCAGGATCGAGTCCCACGTCGGGCTTCCGGTGCATGGAGCCTGCTTCTCCCTCTGCCTGTGTCTCTGCCTCTCTCTCTCTCTGTGACTATCATAAATAAATAAAAATATAAAAAAAATTATTAAAAAAAATAAAAATAAAACTAAAAATATTTTGTCCTGGGAACCCTTCCAGTCCCAGTCAAACAAGGTAGTTAGTCACTCTTGCAGAGGTGTCTGGCCAGGGGTCTCTGGCAGCCCCACAGCCAGCCTGCCTGGCTGACCTCTGGATGAATACCTCCTTGCTCTTGTAAACTTAGTGGTGCACTGGTGTGAGACTGAGCAATCAGCCTGAGATCCCAGAGCTAGTAAAGAGAGGAGCCAGCATTGAACCCAGCCCTATGTGACTCCTGAGCCTAATGCTTAACCACAAGCATTGTCCTTCCGTCTTCCTTTATGCCCATCCCCTCAGCCTTGTCAGTACTGCTACCTCCTTAAATACTTAGCACTTTGATGTTGTCTTATCAAACCAACAGAGGTAAAAGGGGCTTATATTCACTTTTCTCAAAAATATTTGCAACTTTGAACTTTGAAGAGTGCCTCAGGAAGAGGAAGTGTGCCCAAAAGAAAGATGGTAAGAGAGGTACCTACAATGGGTTGACAGTGTCCTATCTGGATGTCGTGCTAAGAATTTGATTTTTTTCCCCCTTGGCCCTGGAGAGCCACTGAATATTTTGGAGCAGAGGAGTTATGTGGTCACCTCCAGGTTTTGAGATGATCTCACTGGCTGGGTGAGGGAACAAGGATAGGCCAGGGGAGGCCAAGACTGGAGATAGGGTGTTCTATTAGGAGGCTGGTGGGCCTGCACCAGGGCAGGGAGTGAGAAAGAGAGGCAGAGTTAAGGCAGAACCATGGGAAAGGAAACGGTTGAAGAGGTCTGCAATTTATTAGTTTGTTCTTCACTCAGGCTTAATTACTCAACCATTCACTTATTCGACACATATTTATTTAGTGCCTATTATTATTATTTTTAAAGATTTTACTTCTTTATTCATAGATATGCAGGGAGCGAGAGAGAGGGAGGCAGAGACACAAGCAGGCTCCATGCAGAGAGCCTGACATGGGACTTGATCCAGGGTCTCCAGATCACGCCCTGGGCTGCAGGCGGCGCTAAACCGCTGCGCCACCAGGGCTGCCCTATTTCGTGCCTATTAAGTGCCAAGGGCTATGCTAATCTTTTTTTTGGGGTGGGGGGGCTATGCTTATCTTGAACCGACTCTAGTTTTGAATCTGGGTGACAAGAGGAAACAGGTCAGGAATTCAAGAGCAAAAGCCAGCCTCTTTAGTGAAGATTTGGCCATGCTGAGTTTGACAGGTATGGCCAACTTCAGAATTTCTCTCTGGGATCTTTAAGAATCATCCATCACAAAAGCCCAGCTTAGGGACGCCTGGGTGGCTCTTTGAGTGTCTGCCTTTGGCTCAGGTCATGATCCGGGGGAGGGGGGGGGTCCTGAGTTTGAGTCCCGCATCAGGGACTCCGTGAGGAGCCTGCTTCTCACTCTGCCTGTGTCTCTGCCTCTTTCTCTGTGTCTCTCATGAATAAATAAAATCTTCAAAAAAAAAAAAAAAAAGCCAAGCTTAGATCAGACACAAATTATATGGCATACTTTGAGGCATTTCATGTTTCATTATGAGATACTTATTCTTTTGGATCAGTCATTGCTGCTGTAAAGGGAAAACTCAGGGAATTATTCTACGTTCTTTTCTTTTCTTTTTTAAAATATTTTATTTATTCATGAGGGACACAGAGAGAGAGAGAGAGAGAGAGAGAGAGAGAGAGAGAGAGAGAGAGGCAGAGACACAGGCAGTGAGAGAAGCAGGCTCCACGAAGGAGCCTGAGGTGGGACTCGATCCCGGGTCTCCAGAATCACATCCTGGGCCGAAGGCAGGTGCTAACCGCTAAGCCAACCCAGGGATCCCTGTATGTTCTTTTCATGTTCTTGCTCCAAAACCTTCAGTGATCCCCCATGACCTATAGGAAAAAGCTTGAGGTCCCTTAGAATGGCATTCAAACTGGGCACCATCAGAGTTACAGTTTCACATTAATCTGTATGGATTTTACTGAAGCCTATTTCTCTCAGTAAACTGTAAACCTTTTTTTTTAAGATTTTTTGTTTTTTGAGAGAGGGAGAGAGCATGGGTAGGGGAGAGGGGCAGAGGAAGAGACAAGCAGACTCCCTGCTGAGCAGGGAGCCCTAATGCAGGGCTCAGTCCCAGGACTCTGGGATCATGACCTGAACCAAACACAGATACTTAACCAGCTGAGCCATCCAGGTGCCTCGAACTGTAAGCTATTTTTGTCCATCATTGTATCACCAGCACTTGGCACTCAAATGAGTAAATGTAAGGAATGTGCTTATTCTAGAATAACTGGACTGTCAGCATTCACAGATTCTATTATGGCCTCACTCTTGACCTTCTTGGACTCAGTGCACTTGACCCTCAAGACAACCACAGATAAAGGCTGGCTTCCCAGAGGCTCTGGGGCCTAGACAAAGGGCATCAGTCACCTGAGGGCCACCCCACACCTCCAAGGGCTTTGCTATCGGGGTGTTTGTGTTATAGGCATTGCTGAAATGAACTTTTACACAGAAACTTTTCTCTAAGAGTGATGGCGGGAGTTTCTGGAGTTTATAGTTGCCAAGAATCAAATGAATGCTTTGGACAATATGAAGAAAAGGAGCTGTTTTGCACTTAAGAAGGCAAAGTCCTAACCTTTCAGATTTCTCTGCCTCACTTACCTCTTCCAGCAAACCCAGGTCCAGCAGGGGCTGAGTGAGGGCTGAAATACCCCCTGGCTTTGCTTTGAGCCCTCGCTGTGTCTCTCTGTTTCTGTCTGGGAGGAAGGCATCTTTTCCTAATTCACACAAAGGCCTGGAGGGGTGCCCTTTTCTACTTAAACAGAGATACCTTATTGGTTAGCAGGGGGTGACAGTGATGAGGGCCTTCTGGGCACATTGACCAAGATGCTGAGGTATTTAAAAGAAGCCTCTGGTGCGGCACCTAGGTGGCTCAGTTGGTTAAGTGTCTGACTTTGGCTCAGGTCATGATCTCGAGGTCCTGGGATCAAGCCCTGCATTGGGCTCCCTGCTTAGTGGAGAGTCTGCTTTTCTCTCTCCCTCTGCCCCTCCTCCACCTGTACACGCACTCTCTCTATCAAATAAAATGATAAAAATCTTAAAATAAGTAAATAAATAAAAAGAAGCTTCTGCCTCCAGTAAAAAGCCGAGTGAGACTCTAGCAGCCCCTGAGATGGGTTTATAAGGAGCTCCCAGGCCCCCTCAGAGCTCTCCCCCTTGTTCCAGTGTCAAACCTAGTCTTTACCAACTCCCTGCTCAGCCCTGGGGAGACGCCTACCCTAACCCCTTGCCTGCCCTCCTTCCCCACCAGTCCCATGGGTTACCTTCCATACATGCCTCCATGTGGCTTGGATACTGCCCAGGTGTTTTGAATTAGGCCATAGGCTCAGGTGCAAGAAGCCACACTGCCTTATTTTTGTTAAGTCAGCAGCACTTGGTCTCTGAGCCCTCTTCCTTCTGCATGGGCAGAAAGTTCACTCTTGGTGATTTTGATGCTTTCCTGCATCTTGGGGTGACCCAGGGCCCTGAACACAGGCTGGACTTTGCTCCTCGGTTGTGTGTGGGCTCTCTTAAGAAACAAAATTCAACCTAGTAAATTTGAAGAACTGATTGGCTTTATCAGGCGACTCATGAATTTGGCAGCATCCATCAGGATGTTCCACCAAGGAGCTCAGAGGAGGTGTTTTTATGAAGGAGGGTAGGGCAAGGAAGTTATTAGCAAAAGAAAAGAAAGTATTTCAGGCCAGGTCATTTTTCCTT